TTCTTCATGTTCAGCTCCATGATTTGTTCCTGAATTAAGGAGAAGTCTAGCTCATGGTTATTTCTTTGCTTTGAAATTCAAATAGACTCAAATGATGGGTATGGACTGTGTTGTCAGTCATGTCAAGAGTTTGTTCTCAAGTTCATTCAAAGTATGCCTGGCATATTTCGGCAATCTAATCAATTTAAATTTATTGATCGTATAACTTCTTAAATTATATTTGGTTGGAAACAGTATAAACTCTTCTAAAGCCTGTATCTCTGTTTGGTAATTATTTGACTTTAATTTAATCCATTTTACTATCGTTTTCTGAGTGGAGGTAAGGGCTGTTTATATGCATATTTAAATATCCTTGATGAGTAGCTTATCATGGATTTCCATATACTGCAGCTCTCCTTTCAGATGTGGACTGACCAAATGCAGCAATCTTTGGAATCAAAGAAGAAAGGTGATAGTAACTTCAAGCAGAAAGATTTTAAGTCAGCAATAGAACGATACACACAGGTGGATTTTCCTTCCTAGCATGTTTGATGATTTCTACATGTTTAGCATGATTTGATGTCCATTTCTTGGTGTATCAGATAGGAATTCTGAGTGTAAACCATGAGTATGTGTCAGTTATTTGTTTCGTGTGTTTTATTGCTACTGATACACCTATATGATGGTGTAAATATCGAGTCTAGACAAGTTTTTGTTTTTTCTGCTGTCAATCTTGGTAGCTTGGGATATATGGCCAGGAAGAATGCTCTGGAGGAAGATTTTTTGAGTCACAGTGGTTAAGATTTAAATGGCTAAAACATTTTCTAAGACCTGGGAATTTTAAGTTTTACTCTCTACCCTACTTTTTTCGGATTTCCTGAATTTGCTTCTCTATGGAAATCTCCACCCCTAGTGAGCAGTGAAAATGGAATCCTATTTTTCCTTTTTACAACTCTATCCAAATTTATTATTATTGTCTTTTACAAGCCTACATGATCTCTTACTAATTTGTTGGGGTTTCTTAAAAAAAAAAATGTTTGTTGGGTTCAAAGCGTTATGAAATGATTGACAAATCCAATCCCTATTGATAGTGGGTTACTTCCCAATTAACCCCCTCAGATTTTGCTCTGATCAACTTGAATTTTTTTCCAAATCAAACGCTGTTAGCACACCCTCCTAGTTATTTTTTTCTGTATATATTTGTGCATGACAGCCTAACCAGAGAATAAATATGGAGGGAGGGAGTAGCCTGCAGAAATTGATGACCGAAGACCTGTTTTATGCTCCTGACTGCTTAATTTAATGTGCTCATTTGCTCTGATAACTTGTGCCTTAACAACTGAGCCCCTTTCCACTATGTGCAGTTCGTTGATGGTGGGATGATTTCTCCAACAGTCCTTGCACGCCGCAGTCTCTCACATCTTATGAGCGACATGCCACAGGAAGCTTTAGAAGATGCAATGCAAGCTCAAGTGATTTCACCTGTATGGCACATTGCTTCATATCTTCAAGCTTCTGCTCTTTTTGCCCTTGGAATGGAAAACGAGGCACAAGAGGCTCTGAAAGAGGGCACTACCCTTGAAGCGAAAAGGGATGTCAGAGATGCAAAATAATCAGAAACCTTGTGCAGCAATGAATTAATACTGAATGAAGCATGCCCTCCCCAGAAAAGGTCTTAAAACGTGAGTTTTGAAATTGAGGAGAAGGCAATGCAGTGATTCTCTTGTCCGAAGATTTTTGCCTCCTTTGCAGCTTCTCAGACGAAAAATTTCAGCTGTCAAGAATTTTAATAGGTTGATTAGCTTGTCCCACATTCTCCTTGGAGAGTTTGCAAGTGCAAGGCATCAAAATCCTATAAACTTGTAATTTGTGTACAGTAAAAATGTGGTTTGGGTGGTTTTTGAACTAAAAAACTCAAGTTTTCAGCTTATATTTACGGAAGTAAATAATGGCTTCCGTTTCTCCATCAAGTCTTGTTACAATTGTGTGGGCAATGCCTTTCTTTAACATATATATCCAATGAAAGTTTCAATATCAAGGTTCAGACTCGTTATTAATCTGTTATTGTTATTCAGTTTGACTTGCAGATGAAACATTTTATTTGCGTAATTTAATCAGCAGCTAACAGGGGAAAAATGCAAGTAGTGTAAGCCCCCTATAAACTCGAACTTATAGTCAATTCCTCGACTCATGACTCTAAAGTCTTGAAATTCTACGTAGTACTTCCTCTGTTTCCTTAAAATCTAACAAATTGCAGCTACTACCAATAAGTCCCTAGTAGTCCAGGAAAAATGCTCTAACAATAGCCTTCGTCCATGAGACTTTGATGGGTGCTTCATTAGCCCGTTGTTCCCTTTGATTCAGCTCCATTTCCCTTTGGATCTTTGCCTCGATTTCTTTTGTCATATCACTTCTGAGTTTTTGCACCTCCGCTTCAACTTCCCTAACACAAAAGAATGAGTTTGAATCAGACATTATTCAAGTAGACTGTAAAGTAATCGTCGAGGTTATTGATCAAAAATGTATCCTGACCTTCTTATTTGCGCATCCATCTCCTCCCTGTATATACTTGATTATAAATAGTATTAATCAGTATTGCCACAAAAAAATCATAATTATTTCTAAACTTATTTTAATTTCAAGGATGTTTTATGTCAACTTATCAACTCTTATAAGAACTTATGCTTCGTGATAAAAATAAAATTAAAAAAATTACGCGAAAAACATGCAGTCCTAAAAGAAGCAATAACTATTTGCCCCATTTAGGACTTTAAATTCAGGAGGTAAAATGATATAGCTTAAACCTTTTCGAGTTTCTTCTTGCTTCTATTTTGTCATTCACCCTGTGTAATTGCATAAAAAATTCTAATCAGCAAGTAATACTTTATTTATTTCAGAAATAATAGTCACGTGTACTAAATACGGAGTATGAGAAACCTTTAATTAATAGCTAAGCAAATGGTGAAGTCTACAGTCTACTTAGTTATAAAGGGTCAGAGTAACAATGTAGTGTAACAATTATTTTCGGATAGAGGGAGTATAAACGAGGATAAAAATAAGCTGTCTTACATACTCCTTAAAAGGGTCGTAGACTCCAACGCTAGATAAACCAAGTATACCCAGAATCCAAACTACGAACCACACTAAATAAAGAGGAAATAAAACATGGTAAAATTAAAAGGAAAAGAAAACCAAAAAAAAAAGTAGATAACACTAAATTAAAGGGAAAAAAAAAGTTGCGTACCTGATGATGGTTCATCAATGCTTGACCTGAAAGTCATTAGTAATTCTTCTTATGATCTATGATATATACAAAAAAACTAATACTACCTCCGTTACAGGTTATGTGCAACGATTAGACATTTTTCTCTCTGTTTTATGTCAAATCGTTGCACATAACCTGTAACGGAGGTAGTAATTAAATCGAGAATGTTCATGTGTACATACGTTTGATTCAATGGGGCACGGTTCTGAGCAGAAACATTGCAGTGATTTGATATAGCACGACTTTGAACGGGTGCACTAGAGACATTGAAGGGAATATGGACATTCTTACTCCTCCAACTCCAAAATTTCCTAAATCACATATCATCATTACCAACAAATTAAGCCATCAATCACTAATTAATTCTTGATCGTCAAATAATGTGTAGTACACAAAAGAAGTTAAAACCCTAATACTATAATGAATTAATATTTTTTGGGAGACCCTAACAACAAACAAAAACCATAATAATAATAATAATAATAATAATAATAATAATAATAATAATAATAATAATAATAAAATAATAATAATAATAATAATAATAATAATAATAATAATAATAATAATAATAATAATAATAATAATAATAATAATAATAATAATAATAATAATAATAATAATAATAATAATAATAACAATAACAACAACAACAAAAAACATACCTAGTATATTTCGTGAGAGTGGTACGGATCACCATAATCTTGTATGTTTGTTGTTCCAAGTAAAAATTATTTGTAAACTATACTATGAACAAAATTACCTTGGAGAAAAAGATAAGAAGCAGGCCAAAATATTTGGAAAAATTAGCTTAATCTAAAAAAAAGTAACAACAATTAATCTTTAACCCTTAAAATGCTTATATATATATATATATATATATATATATATATATATATATATATATATATATATATATATATATATATATATATATATATATATATATATATATGGTCTGGACTTTCAGCTATATATGGGCCTAATTTAAAGGATTGGAATTGATTCAATAATTACTCTAGAGCTGTCAAAAGCTGACCCAACTCGAAATACCAACTTGAACCCGATTATTAACCGACCCGTCTGAATCCGGAAAAATGATGACCTGACTTTAACCCGAGATTGACCCGACCTAATTGTAACTCGCAAATTATTGACTTGGACTGAACCCGACTCCAACCCGAGAATGTCCCTAACCCGTTTTAATTTTGATCGAATTAGGGTTTCAATTTCAAAGACATTGATTAATTATTTTCTGATATATCTTTAGGCCCATTAAACGACTCAAAAAAAGGGATGGTAGTAATGCTATACTGTTAGAAAAAGAAGATAGAATCAGCAGTTTACCTGATGCTCTATTAGGGAACATACTCTCATTCCTTCCTATAGTAGTAACCTAAGGACAGAGGTTGTACTTGATGTTACTAATGTGGAGTATCTAATGTATGACGACATTTCTGCATCTGACTACTGCATTGGAGATCTGTATGCAATTATTGAAGCTGAAATCAACCAAAGTAGTCTTTTACATTATCTTCAATTACACTTAATTTTCTTTGTTTGACTTTTACGACCCCTTAATGTATTACTCCCAATCCAAGCATGCCCGCAATATAGAAGGAACGAGAAGAGAGAGAGAAAAAAAAAAAAAAAGTCATAACATGCCATAATCACTACCAAGTATTAATAGGGAGATATCTAAGATTATTCTGATTTATAAGAAGGGAAATTAAAAATTAAAAAATATAAGAAAATGTTTTGGTAGGAAAAAGGTTACAAATTATAAATTGCAATTAATTCATTTACCAAATTGATGAGGATATTCAAACCAGATCATTCTAAAACAAACCAAGTCACCAAATTTAACTCCTACAGCAACTAGATAGAAAGTCACACTCCACAAGTTGATAGCCTAATATACAAGAGATTAGCAATGGGAGCTAGTTTCTAGATCCAAAGGTAAAAAAAGGGAGCAAGCCTTCAAAAATTCGACCCACCAAAAAACGATGGAAGAACTAGAGTACAGAATACAGATGCTGGCTTCATCAATATTAGTAGCCCTAGATAAGACACCATAACCTTCCAACAGTCGAGAAAATAACTCATTTACCAGCCCGAAATGACTCCTTGGTTCTGCCATAATACTCAGGTTTAGTTCCATGGAATGTGATGAAATTCCAGCCAAATGCGGAACCACCAACAATGTAAGTTCCCGTGATCCGGGTACTGCCATGCGTTGGCTTTTCAAGATTATTTCCTACTGGGAAGCGCTTTTCTTGTGATGGCTGATCAGCAGGCTTCTGCACAGGCCCTCCCTGTTTCTCGTTAGTGAAATCTAAATTTCCTGCTCCGCTGTTGCACTTAGCTAGCGGTACCTTCTCCGCTGTCTGGTGTCTACATAACTCTACCATAAGCGTCATTTCTGCAAGTTTATAGTTGATTTAATAAGTACTCCATAAGATTTACCAAAGGTAGCAAGTGGTCAGCAAAGGAAGAAACAAGTTACAAACTTGTTAAAATGGAAAATAAAAGTCTTGATCACTCATTAATCAAAAGTAAGGCAAAAGTGTGAGTCTACAAAATTTCTCTAGAACACTCATCACCCAGAAGAAAGGCAAAGGTGTGAACACTCATTTTATTTAAGGTGTAAACTGTTAAGTGTTGGAGACCAACGTAAATGGTATTACAAGGTTTAAGCTACCAAAGTAGGACCTATATTTAGCCAAACTTCTTCACCACCAAAGTCGCCTCAAGAAAGGGGGAGAGGGAGAAAAAGGCAGTCCGCAGTAGCATTTGATGGAACAAAGGAAGTGATACAAAAGGCAAACAAGATTGAATACTTTGCATACAACACATAAATAGTTACTGCACAGACTAAACTTTTAACATCTAAGCTAAAGATGAAGAGAGATTATCATACTTTCTTGGATCTTGCGGGCAGCTTCACAGTTTTGAAAGTCAGGGGCACGGAGAACCTTCAACATAGAAAAGAAAAGACATCAGTGTCTTACTATGATCATACATAGTTATCAGCACACTTAAAAAAGGATCTATGATAAAAACTTTTGAGGCAAACCGGTATCACAGTACTAATTAAATCTGAGGCAACAGGTATAATGGTAACTTGGTAAGACCTCATCTCAAGGGCCTTGTATATCATGTATTATTTATCAGAAGTCTAGTTCAAGTGTGAAAGAGTTCAAGTTCAAATATCATATTAAAAAAAAACTACAAATCAACTTACAACCAGTTCAACAACGCTTTAGGGAGTATATTGAAGAACAAGGTTAGAGAAGTGCATTGCTCTCACCAAGAGAATCACTGAGGATTAGGGTGCGATAAACCTAACAGAGTACAGCATATTCTACAGGACTTATGCTGATTAACTACAAAACAAAAAGAAAAACATTCTGTCAAGGCAGCCAGCACACATCCATACAGAAAATCCGTAGCACCCTCGAAAGAAATTCATTCAACAAAGAAAAGAAGAGAGACTCTATCCGCAGTAGTTTATCTAATATTCGTTTTGACAAAACATTGAAGAAGTTGGACAGAAATTTGTAAACATGAAAAAATTGCTCATAATAGTTTCTGGATCAGAAAATCCAAAAACGAGCATGAGCTATAAAACTGACCAACGAGTACTAATGAACATCAATGGAAGGTTCAGTTACAAGTACACCCATGCGGCCACAACCGTTTACATTAAGTAATATCTACACATACATCATAAAATCTAATTCTCTTTCCAATTCTGCTACACCTTTCCTAGCTTTGGTAACTTCATCAGTCATGACCACTAATTCAATTAAACAGCTCAGGAAAGGAAATCATTAACAGGATACGCTTTAATTATTTCCTAAGTATGTCAATTACATGAGAATAAATAGACTGTCAAAGTGGAGGTTAGTGTTGGTTGACAGTAAAATATCTAATACTCGTGCAAACCAGAAGTATGGATTATCACTAAAAGAACGGCTCAAATCAAGGGGTAGCCGCAATCTTGTAAAAACAAATTATTCACGAATGAAAATGGCATGGATTGCACCCCACATCAGACCCTCAGAAACCCGGATTTGCGATTAGACTAATATAGTAGAAAAAAAAAACACTTCCTCGGAAAGATAGTGAGTGAATTATTGCATCTTGTACCTAGAGTTTCAAATCAGATTTTTTCCGAATAAAAATGCCAGCTAAGTTACTCGGAGGTCTCGGACCATTGAATTTATGACTTGTAAATACTTAAACAGACTTATACTAATAAACAAACACGAACATTTGATTATCAACTCTCACCAAATACAAAGCATTAAATTAGCTCATTGAATCCACATTGAATTCATATGATCTTATTAAAACTCCAATAATCAATTTCAATAATTAACATGACCAAAAATCAAATAAACTCTAAAATTGCGAAATAATCCAATTCCAGGCACATTACCAAGAACTACACTCTCGCTCATGCACCTTAACGCAATTGGGGAAGATAAACATTTCTTTGACGCAATCAAACCCATAAAAATCTCAAAACAAATTCGCCCCACAAAATTTAATTTGATTAAAAACAAATTAAAGTTCAAATTTTGGCAGAAAACAGAAATCCAAGCAACACCCAGTTGGAGAAACAATTAAAACCAAAACCTAGAAATTCAAACTTTACACAAATCAACAAAACAAGCAACCCACATAAATTAACAATTGGAAAGTAAAAGTAAACAGAAAAGCAAGCAACTTCAAAGAAAAAAAAAAATCAATTTTCCATAAATTAAACGATACCCAGAAAATAAAAAAAGTAAAGAAGAGTAAACCTGAAGAAAAAGGGGACGAAGGTCTCTGATAAAAGCACGCATCTTAAAGTAAGGAGAACTCTGAAGAAGATAAGCATGGTCAAGAGGTCTCTTCTTCGGATTGAAATTATTTGAAAGAGGTGGTTGAGATTGTGGCGGGAGAGTTGGAACTACTGGAATTTGATTTTGAATTTGATTTTGATTTGTAGTTGTTGTTAATGGAGTAGTAGTAGTTGTTGTTGAAGGGGTTACTATGAATTGTACAGTTGAAGACGCCATTGAATTTTCTCTCTCCTCTTTTTCTCTTTTCTCCTTTGAAATCGGTGAATTTTCTCTCTCTATTGAGTTTTCTTCAAAACGAATTTTAGTGTTTTTGGGACTTTTTTTTTTTTTTTTTTTTTTTTTTTTTTTTTTTTTGGTATTAAATTTGGTCTCTTTGAATTCTCAGTCCCACAACTCCTAGTCTCCTACTCTTCCAGATCTTTGAATTCCCCTTCTTTTAGTTTCTGGCTGGGATTTTCTTTTATTGTTGTAGTTGTCGTTGTTGTCGTCGAGGTTGTAAGACGACCAGAGACTCTAATCTTACGATGTTATTTGTCCGCTTTACTAAATTAGGTTAAGCTAAATATTGGTTGTTAATACTTGACATTAGGATAAATTTTTGTCGGTATGAAATTGGTTGTTTGGTCCATAATCAACTCGATCTATTAAAATTTGAAAGCATCCTTTTGAATGAACACATAAAATAAAATGGAAAATTTGCAAATTGCAGCCATTTAAATTTTATTTTGCAAATTGCAGCCCAAAAGTTCGTATAAATTGTAAATTGCAGCCCGATTCAATTTTTTCATCGGTTTACATGTTGAAAAATCTCTGGTTAAGGTTTTAGGGGTCATTTTAGTTCTTAGGGGCCTGAATTGAGCTCGGAATTAGCAAAAAAATAACGTAAGTGTCTCATATTTACAGTTTCCCACAAATCGATACACTTTTGTTACGCAAAACGAGATACTTGCGTTATTTTTTTGCTAATTCCGAGCTCAATTCATTCCCCTAAGAATTAAAATGGCCCCTAAAACCTTAATCGAAGATTTTTCAACTTGTAAACCCGATGAAAAAGTTGAATCGGGCTGCAATTTACAATTTATATGAACTTTTGGGCTGCAGTTTGCAAAAAAAAAATTTAAATGGCTGCAATTTACAAAATACGAACTTTAAATGGCTGCAATTTGCAAAAAATTGTTAACATATTAACAAAATGAGAGCTTGTGTCAGATAAACTATATATCTGACACAAGCTCTCATTTTGCTAATATGTTAACAATTTAATATTTTAAAAAAGCGGGTTTACACTATTTTATTATGTGGCAAGAAAGAAGAGGAAGAATTTCATTCCCTAAATAATTTCACACGTGAGACTTTTCCCCAAAATTACTTCTCTCTCCTCATTCTCTTTTATGAACTTTGCTCTAATCAAGGCCATTGCTGAAAGCTTTCTCTCTCTTCAATTTGCTTTTATTTCTCTCTTCAATGCAAATGATGCCATTGCAAGACCCAAACACCTGAACTCCCTGAATTGAGAGTGGGAGCTGGACCTCTAAGAAAGAGATCTTGTCATGGTCGAATTCTGCATAATAAAGAGATTGATAACAAAAGAGGAGATGACGATCGAAGTTGGAAATTAAGGGTTGATTGAGATGAAGTTGGATGAAATTGGGTGTTTTGATTAAGGAATTCTAGAATTTATAGACGCATTTGAAGTGTACAACTGATTTAATAGGTAATTGTGAGTGAATCTCTGTGATTATCTCAGTCGGAAGTGTCGCCATTGTTGCCGCTCAAGTTCCAGAAGTACAGTCACGCAGACACGCAGTGTTGGAAGCTACCTAATGGGCGGTGCTCGAACAAGTTTGAATGGGCTTGTTTGAAAATGGCGGTGGTTCAATATTTGTGGGTGAGTTGGGTTTGTTCGTAAAAATGGAGGTTCTAATTTTGCTGGGTTTCTTCGATTTTGATTTTGATACTTTTTTTTTTTTTAAGAATTTTGATTTTGATACTCTGTTTTGCATTTGTAGCTTAATTACTTTTGTATAAAAAAGGGTCACTTTTGTGAAAAAAAAAGGGTCACTTTTGTGATAAAAAGGGTCACTTTTGTAAAATAATGATCATTTTTGTGAAAAAAGAAGTTATTTTTGTGAAAAAAGGGTCACTTTTATAGAAAAAAAAAGGTCACTTTTGTGAAAAAAAATGTCACTTTTGTAAAATAATGATCAGTTTTGTGAAAAAAGAAGTTATTTTTGTGAAAAAATGGTCACTTTTGTAGAAAAAAAAAGGTTACTTTTGTGAAAAAAGGGTCACTTTTGTAAACATATGAGTCACTTTGTAAAAAATAAAGGGTCACTTTTCGCAAAATGTTCGATGTACAATAAAATTATTGTAAACTGGGGGCATGCAACAGGAATTGTATGTATAATTTTATTATAAATATAATACAAAGTATATTTTTTCATAGTATATATAATTAATTTTGGAATAATAATATTTGGCATCAACTTTGCCACTATATGTAATATTTTTCTTAATTAAACTACACTTATTCACGTTCAACAATATTTTACCTTTTTCACTTTTACCTTTTAATTGATAATTACTCTACTTCATTATCTTCCTATTTTTAGTTTATTTTAGGGTTACTTTTGGGCTAATGCATAATAGGTATTATCCGGAGTCGAAAAATGATTTTTTTTTTTGAATAAATAGACATGATGAGTACAATGTACTAGGGTTGTACTTGACTGAACCTATTCTAAAATTTATATGAACATACTAATTAATGTTCAACATTTTTTTTAAAAAAAATACTATCCCTACTTATTATTACTTGCAACAAAGAGGTATAATATATGGGCTATAAAAATATTTTTTAGTTGCAACTAATAAAAAAAGGAGTTAGTATTAGTTTTTAAAAGTCAAACTTAAATTTTTGTGTACAGTAAAACCTATATAAAACCTTTATAATAGGAAAAAAAATGTTTTATTATGGTGTTTATAATTAATTAATTTGACTCTTTTACTAGACTAAAACCTACAATTAGGAAAAATTAAAAGTAAATTAGAAATGAGAATAACGTAAAATTTTATTTTATAATTGACGGGAATGTAAAATATTATTTGCATTGTCATTTCTTAATCCCTTGGTCATTATGTGAGTCTATATTTGTGTGTATGTTCATTGTCATTTTCGAGATAATGCAAAACGGGTATTATGCGGGGTTTAAAAATAGAAATTTAATTGATAAAAAACATGATGAGTAGTATGTACTAGGGTTGGCTAGGTAATTGAGTGAACATATTCTAAAATTCATATGAATCGATCATATACTAATGTTCAACATATTTGGTTTTTAATATTACCCCTGTTTCTTTTGCTTGCAAGTTGTAACAAGTGTGCATTATTTATGGGATATAAAAAATTTCTTATTAGTTGCAACTGATAAAAAAAATAATAGAGTTAGTTTCAAACTTAAATTTTTTGTTATAAGTAAAACCTACATAAATCCTTTATTCATAGGAAAAAAATATTTTATCATGATGTTTATTATTAGTTTGACTTTTTCACTGGATTGAAACCCACAATTGGAAAAATTAAAAATAAACTAGAAAAGAGAATAACTTAAAATTTTATTTTATTTTTTTAAGGGATCGTAAAATATTACTACAATGATGAATGTTTGTTTGTATATACAGTATTTACATTGTCATTTTCTAATTTATCCATTGATCATTATTGTGAGTCTTTATTTGTGTGTATAATTGTATATACAACGATGAATGTTTAATTTGTTAATTTTAATGATTCCATTATTAATCATTAAGTTAAATTATAAATTAATATGTTGATTTGTAAACCGTGCATCGCAGGGAACTATGCTAGTTATAAACTATATTCCTCTACTCTTCCCTGGCCCACTGGGCCACTGATTTTTGGAAAACAATTTCAACCACATAAAAAAATCAAAAAGAATCTTTTTACATCAAACAAATGTATTAAAGGGTGCGATTTCATTCAAAATTTTCTAAAGCTATGTGTCCATCTCAACTCCTAGATATTTTGGGGCGAAGGGAGTAATACATTGGGATTCAATGATTGAACATTTTGAAAGTTATTAGCATGCTCACATAATTGCATAGAAGAAAAAGTAAATAGATTCAAATCAATACATATGTTACCTAAATTTATCAATAAGATAATTGTTTATGGTAATAAAATATTTAATGTACAAATATGCATCAATAAAGAGGAGTCTTACCTAAACTTACAAGCGTAATTAATGAAAGTTTCAATCTTTATGTTACTGCTCACTAGTATCCAAATTTTATGTAACTACTCACTAGTACGGAGTATTCAAATTCATTATTCAAATTGATATGAAAAAAGAACCCAATTTATGTTTACCAACATTCATAGTAAAAATTGATAACAAAGTTAGAAAACTACTTGGATGAAAGGAGAGCAAAAACCAAAATGCATTTATTTGGCATGCTATCATTGCCAGTTGCCACACAAGCTATACCACGTAAAAGGCGAAAAAAAAGGTTAATTAAACAAGAATAAAGGGAAAAATTATCTTCAATCAATAACAATCAAACAACAAAACATTTTATAGCGATTTAATAAAGATTTTATTTTTGTATTACAATATTATTTTAATATATTTGTGCATCAACATTTAACACGGATACATTCTACTTAATATCTTTTAAAAAAAAATTCTCTAAGACGAACAAAAATAATGACTCCATGTTAATAATATGTATTTTTTTTTTGGTGTTCTACCCGGTTCACCCTTTTGTTGCGGGGATCGAATACAGGTCCTCCTACCAAGTGTAGTCCCAATCACCACCACCACTGCACCAACACCCAATTGGTTTAATAATATGTGATATTGCTTAATCATCATTATGTGTGAAATAATTATCTTACTTAATATAGTGTAATTTTAAAATAAACTAAACTTGGTCCACCTTTATATGGAGTTGGCCTTCCACATTATTCTAGCATGTTTGCCGAGCAAGAAGAAGGAAATCGGATGAGAGAAGATGAATCCCAACACAGACAAGCTTATACGACGCACAACCATGGTTGGGACTTGTGTTGCTGCTTACTTGCTGATAACCGCTGATTATGGTCCTCAACCTAATGTTCTTGACCCTGTAAGCTCCCTCTTCTTTCCCATTTTCTTGTAATTTTCTGTTGATTATAGTTTATAGATAAATAGGTCATGAAATTACAATTTATGTGATACCCAGATGTAATTTTTTGATCTTTGTAGATAAATTAGTTGTTATATGCTGTGATTAATAATTGATTACTTCCATGATTTGAGACTCTTTTTTTTTTTTTTTTTTTTTTTTTTTTTTTTGGGTTTACGGGGGAAATTGATAAAGCTTTGATCTTTTGGGGTTTTTGTTAATAAAATGGGTTTATATGTTACAATGAATCTGAATTTTGTAATGCATGTTTTGCTTATAAAATGACTGTCAATTTAGCTTCATTTTGAACTTTGTGATTGGAATTGAATATTTGAATTGGGTCATTCCTTTGGTTTTATGTAAGACCTGCTTGTGCTCTTATTATGTGGCCTTGAGGTTAAGGATTGGTTACAGTTGTGGATTCAATTCGATGGCTGAACTCGGCTAGTTATGGAAGTCTTTGGTTTAATCTGAAGTGTCAAATTGGTGATAATGCTGTACTTGAGGTTTCCAAGTGGGTGCTCATGAGTCATGATTGAGTGATGTATGGAGTAATTTGTTATATATCTTGCATTTCAGGAGCATAGTATGGTTTGTTAGAGTATTAGATTGTCAAGGGCTATCTTTCTTGCATTTAGCAGGATAATGTATGTAATTATAACATAGGAATATAGGATATTGCCTAATTTTGGCATGAGAATCTTGTCGAGTGTAGTGGTTCAATTTAACATGCTCCAGCTTTACTTATATCCTGAATATCGCGCCAGTTTCAAGCAGTTAGCCCAAGTTCTCAGAATATATATGGATCCTTTTGAATTGCTATTTTCTGTGAAGAAGAATGCTTTCAGTTTTTTCGAAGGGAGTAACACGAAGGTTACTGCATGCTACAGGCCTACAGCCCTATAGGCATATAGCTGATGATGCTGTGACAAACTGGCCAATGTTTTAGAAAGTTAAAAAAAAATTATTCATTGGCAGTGTCAATTTTTAGGTTTATTCCTGTCATAACAAATATTATTGTCCTGTTTCTCTTGCTCTTGTTGATTGGTTCCACTTCATCATGATTTGCGCATTGAGCCACTTTATCTTTTGTAGACAGCTGCTTAGAATGAATGCTTGATACTCTCCAATCCAATCCCCTAATCAAAGGGGAACTTACATATTCAAAACCTCCACAATAGGCCAATGGTGCTCGATGAATTTGAGCCTTTTGTGATGCTTTTGTTCTCGTTTGATGTTCATTTTAACCACCAAAGTCAATTTTGTTGGTTTTTGATTGAGATATACTACAAGTTGTGTTTAGTCAAACAAGATATAGGTAGTTTTCTGTACAGGAGGACAAATCTGCAGGTCTCATAATATATCTGTATTGCAATTCTTGTGTTCATGCAAGCATTGGTTTCTAGAACTATTATAGAGCTTTCCATCTGACATTAAAATTCTTTTAATGCCATATGGAACTCTGCAAGCTCTCTTGAGAAGAAAACAGAAAATGTTTAAATATCTAGAGAGGTAAAGGCCTGTATATAATGTTTGGGAGAATTCTTGTGGTTCACTGGTTCTGTGATATTATGAACTTTACAACGTAAAATTAAAAGAACAAAATTTTATGACTGCTTTTTGTAGTAAAGTTTATCTATGCTACCTTATGACATGAGTGATGCAATGCATAACCATCCCTAGACTAGAGTCTGATTTGTGTTCCTCATTGCATGTTGTTGTTTTTAGAGTTCTACTCACTTCTTTTGAGTGTCTATAAACCTTTTTCTCTCTACTCTCATGTTTATTAGGCTCATTGTTTTTGTTAAGAATAATTTTATTTTATAGTATTGGGTAATTTTACTGATGGCAGATCAAGAACAAGATAAAATCAGCAGAACGTTCAGCAAAGGAGTTCATATTTGGATCAAAGAAGAAACAGGAGGAAATTGATGCTGGGAAGACAGAGTCGAGCAATGCCAAGTGAAATCTATAGTCTGTATATATGTAATGTGTCAGGATCCCGCTTTTGTTTTCTATTTTAGCTTATGGTGCATTACAGATTTACAGTATAGGAACTCCTGTCATTAACTGCTATAGAGGCTTGGTAATTAGACTAATTACAAGTGTTTTTATGTATGCTTTTGACTAGTTATATCAATCATTTTTATAGTTCTTTTCACATAGTATTTACCATACGCTATATCAGTTTTGGTGTCTTATTCCTTCCCTACAAAGTCAGAATGTGATACAGAATTCTTCTACATCAGTTTGACGTATTTACTACTCCCTCTGTCCTCAATTGTTTGCCCCAAACTATAAATCTACTTTATTAAGGCTTTGGGCAAAAAATGGTGCACATGGGTTGACACAAATATCAATGAGGAGAGAGATAGAGAGAGTGCAAGTGGGAAAACATGCTAAAAATAGTATGGGGCAATCTTTTGGGGACACCTTAAAAAGGAAAGTGGAACAAACAATTAGGACAGAGGGAATAATATAGTCTTTGTCAATATGAAATTGGCTGTCAATTGAGAATTTTTATTTTAACGAGAACGATCATGAATAGACCTCAACCCACACAAGTTTTTGGTCTAGCATTTACAGTTCAAACACTTGAGAGTAGGGTGAAAGGTAAGGGGATTCTCACACAAGTCACACCCAAACACTTTCTAACATTTAAAGTAAGAATTTTATCAAATGAGTCAATCCTAGCTTGAGATCAATTGGGAGAAGTTGGGCATCGAAGTTTAAGATCAAAACATGTGTACGCCTAAATTATGTATTGGAGCCTTGGAGTTTGCATAATTATATCAAATAAGAAATATCTAGCCACCCTTTAATGATGTTCTTTAGCAAATTGAAGCCTTTCTAAGACCACTCTCACTCATGGGCAAAAAATAAAAATGCCACTCTCTCTCTACTCACTTTCTCACTCCTCTTTTCCATTTTTTCTTATGGGCATTTTATTTAAGAACTCTTCCCACACTCATGGGCTAAACAAAAAAAAAACCACACCACCATCTCTCTTATATTTTCTCTCACAAACACTCATGGGCCCATATGTACTGTAGCAATTTATTTTTGCCATTCCTATGGGCATTTGATAATCTCCTCATGGGCATATTGTTTTTGCTCATAAGTGGGATAACATTTTTAGCATTTTTACCATTAAATTCTCCTCATGGGCATTAATTTGCCCATGAATGAGAGTGCTCTAAGAATTAATAACTTATTCAATATTTTCTCCAACCTTGACCAACTTATTTGTGAAAGTAAACCTTACCAACTTGACAAACTTTTTTTTTTGAAGTAAACCTTTACCAACTTGATCACACATTCACAATGTGTTCCCAAAAAGATTATTTTAAGTTATTTTGTCAATTTTTACAAGTTCACCTAAATATAGAATCTATAATTAGCATTGAAGGGAATAAGAGAAGACAATGTTAAAATTTATATACATTTGGATGTATATACAATATACAGTATATTGGCATATTGCCATATTGGACAGGGGTGAGTGAGAGGGACAAAAAAAAAAATCTATAAAGTGTCCAATTTTGTCTAATTTCATTTGAGCCCCATACCAAAAATAAGAATATACTGGAGTAGTAGGTTAAACGTGTTAAAAAATCTAACACAATTACACAATCAACGGTTTCTAACTACCCATTTCATCTTCCCTTTCCTCTCCTCTCCTCTCCCTCACTGTGTAAACCCCAGCTTTGAGCTCCAAGTTTCTCTGCCCTAATTCTCTCCGATTATCTTTCAAACCCAAAAAAATTCCTCCAATGTCAAATTCTACACATCCAACCATAAACCCTCCTTCAAAACCACCTTTTTCTTCCAAATTTACCCCAAAATTCACCCTCAAAATTTCCCCTTTACCTCTTTCTTCAAAACCCACTTTCAAATTCCCCTTAAAAATCCAATCTTTACACTCCCCAGATCCCCAAAACCCCCCAAAACACCAAAAACCCCTAAACTTAATCTCAATTTTGAGATCTTTACCTGATTGGGCTGATGAAGTTCAAGAAAAGGGTATGAGAAAGAAGAGGAATTTGTATAATCATCAAAGTTGGGCTGAACATAGAAGCTCTCTTAGGCATGTAAGACATCTAATGTCTTCACTTTCTTCAAGGGTCATTGTTTCTCTCGTCCCACCTGTGCTTTTCTTCACTTCTGTGGCTGTTATTGTTTCTGTGTACAATACAGCTGTGACTATGCATTTGTTGCCTGGATTTTTCCCTGTGTTGAGGGCCTCTACCTTGCCTTATCAGCTTACGGCGCCGGCTTTGGCCCTTCTGCTGGTGTTTCGAACCGAGGCTTCGTATTCGAGGTATGAGGAAGGGAGGCATGCTTGGACTAAGGTCATTACTGGGGCTAGTGAACTTGCTAGGGAGGTAGTTGCTTATGCAGATGACTTGAATGATGGGGTTATGAAGAGGAGTCTTTTGCAGTACATCATGGCTTTTCCTATTGCCCTTAAGGTTGATCATCTATTGCTTTCTTCTTTGTTAATTTTTTATGCTCTTATTTTTTAGCCTATTTTGAAATTGTAATTAGAATTGTATGACCTTATCAGCATGCTGCTGGCCTTGGCCCTTCTGCTTGATTTTGATGTTGTGTCTTCAATTGGCTAGATAAAAGGGTGTTTGTAGGTTGAGTGAGAATTTATGTGATGAATTGATGGTTTGGTGTTAAGGAGATTAACCTGTTTCTGCTTTATAACCCAATGCAACTCAATGTTTGTGTGAAATGTTGGTAATGAACCATAAAACTCCAGTAATAGAGTATTTTATATGGTGATACTTTGTGCTGTATGATTTCTGTGGTTTAATTAGGGAATTTGGATTTCTGTAGTGCCATTTGCTTTCTGACTCCGATGTTAGGCAAGATCTCCAAAGTGTCCTTGAAGCAGATGATCTAGCAGTAGTTCTCAGTTCAAAGCACCGGCCGCATTGCATCATTCAGTTCATGTCTCAGAGCCTCAAGTTGTTGAACTTAGAGGAGCATAAGAGGAACGCATTGGTAAATTTCCCCCCTGAATCATGCATCTATATTCTTGAACTATGATGAAATAGGTTAAGTGGTCTCAACAAAGTAACAGCCGAACAGGTATGCTATAGGCTTTGGATGTTGTGGTGGATTCATTGATCCACACAACTAAGTCAAGGTAATATTTCAAATATTCAAGTTCTTAATTAAGCACAAAAATGCAGGATTCGAAGTTATCCTGTTTCCATGATGGAATTGGTATTTGCGAACAAATAGTGGGCACACCCATTCCTCTGTCATACACCCGGCTGACCTCAAGGTTCCTCGTTCTTTGGCATTTAACATTACCTGTCATACTATGGGATGATTGCCACTGGATTGTAATTCCTGCCACGTTTATTAGCGCAACATCTTTGTTCTGCATAGAAGAGGTATTCCCTATCCCCTTGTTTTGAAACTGATATGTGATAGTGCATATCCTTCAGTATAGAATACTGTAACTTAGTGTAAAAAAAAAGAATACTGTAACTTATGTCTTTGTTGTTTGGTGAATCTTGCTTTTGTTCTGTGGTGAATCTTGCTTTTGTTCTGTGGTGAATCGTGATATTGACGTCTGGTGTTCAAAATCTGTACAGGTTGGTGTCCTTATAGAAGAGCCCTTCCCTATGCTTCCACTAGATGAACTGTGCAAGGTGCTTTGTACCAACATTCAGGAAGCTATTGCAGTCCAGAAGACAATTCAAGTGCAGGTCGCTTCTAAAAGGAAGATCCATTACAGCAACCATTCCACCAATGGTTGGCCAGTCTCAAGGGGTGATAAGATTTGATGAAACTTGCCAGCTTTCCCAACTTATGCATGCCAGCACTCTTCAGTATACCCAATGAGAGTCGTTCGACTGAAACTATTATGCAACTTCCAAGCACCCAGATGATGCAATGTAAACAGAATTTTTATTCCGAAAATATCATTTGAGAGTGTTATAAAAGCTCAAAGGGAGGATTACAAATAGAACAACGGGGATATTTCTGCCATTTGATGGTTTTAACAGCCAACAAGGAGTCTTGCTTGTACTCTTGTAAACTTACATGTACAGAAAGTAATGATCTGTAGTCATTTGTATATCAGTATATATGTAGTTAAAGCACATGCTGCTTCTTTTTGTAAAATATTTGACTCTTTGAATATATATATTAAGTTGAGTTCTGCATAAATACACTCATTATTCCCACAATATTAAAACATTTCTGTTGTATGAGAAAGAAATTGAAATTTTTTGTCAGTAGTACAAAGTATACTCTGAAGCAAGAGCCTGAGCTCATTATTCTCTGATCTCTCTGGCTCTCTACAGTCAGATGCTAAGGAGTGTAAGGAGCATGCAGCAACTGAGTAAACTGTATTTTCATATTATTATCATCGAAGAATGAATAAATATCAAAAATATCCCTCGAGCAATACATTGTCACGTACAATCCTAGTTGATAAGTTCGTCAACCTTTTACTTTGGGCAACACTCATCTTTGTCGAGCAAGAAGTTTCATTCCCTGCCCAAAGAGGCAGAACCTCCACTACCACCTTCTGCATTGAATTTGTCAGAAATCCTTCCTCCAGAATCTCTTCCAGTCCATCAAGCTTCCCTCTCAAATCTATCAATACATTGCACATTCCTTGCCTACCACAATACTCCAGAATAGCATCCAAACTTATGTCATCAATAACCACTGTTTCGATACCCTTCTGAGACAATTCTGAGGCTAGAGTTACTTCTTTGTCAGAAAATATAATTGCTTTACAGTTTGCTTCAGCAGGCAGATTGAGATTCCAATTAAGAAAATCAGATTTCTTGGCTATAAAAATGTGTTGAGGTTGGCGGACATTTGGTTCTTGTGATGCAAGGAATGACAGCTCTTGGTTCATCGTGGTGGTTGCATGTATTATCGCATCATATTCTTGAAGTAATTGAGAGTAATATCCTCCACACTCGGTGGCTTTTTCCCCCAGCTGATCTAAAAGCACAGCATTTGTGGAGATGGTATATCTGCAAGTCAGTCACTAGTAACTATTAGCCAAAAATGCAAGTAATCGTAAAGACAAACCAAAGAAACCTAGTAAAATTCTAATGTACCATTTATTTAGAAATACAATTATACAAATGAAGTAGTATTAAAAGCGCACACTCATCCACGTTTTAGCTAGTAAAAAAAATTACTATGACTGAAAAAAAAACAATTTCACCACCAAAGGGAAACACATAATGCACAACCTGACATTTCCTATAATTTTTTACACTTGTAATTTGTATGTAATTATGTAAGAACAATAAGCTCATGGATTCATGTACATATGTTGCTCAGTGCAAATCATAAACCATTACACATCACTAAAAGATATAATAAGATGTACCTGAGAGTCACAAACGGCTTTCCAGAAATCATTTTGTGGATGAATGCTTCATTGAGCTTCTTACACAAATCTTCCTCTACTCCAACGACGACTTCAATGCCTGCTTCTTGAAGTCTTTTAATCCCCCTCGAAGAAACAATGGGGTTTGGATCCACCATTCCAACCACAACTTTCTTCACTTTGGCTTTGATCAAAGCCTCAGAACAAGGAGGCGTTTTTCCAAAATGATTACAGGGTTCCAAGGTCACATAAGCAGTTGCATTCTCAGCTTGTTCCCCAGCATCCCTCAACGCAAATACCTTCAAAATCTCACCTTAACATCATTAAAAACTACGAACAGAAACTAAAACTGTCACGACGAAATGATGAATATGAGACAAGTATACTCTCCACATACACAACTACAACAATATAACATCCAATAAGCACCATGAACAAATCCCCAAACAAAATTTGACCATCAAAACAAGCATATCAGGATTACTGCTATGAATACAATTAGCATTACACCACATTTCATTTACAAAAACATACCATATAGGATAATCAAAATTAGCTTTTACATCACAATAAAACTATCAAAATCAAGCTTTTTTTTAGACAACCATCATACAAAGAGGAAGAACTTTTAAAGACCAATGAAGTGATTAATTAGTACTAATTAATTACCTCAGCATGAGGCTGTCCTGCTTTAGGATGAAATCCTTGACCAACAATCTGACCATCTTTAACAATAACACAACCAACCATAGGATTAGGACTAGTACACCCAATCGCCTGCTTAGCCAGCTCCACACCCTTCCTCATGTAAAATGCATCTTCTTCAATTTCACTCTCAAAATCACCACCATTTGTATAACTAAGACATGCCCCAGATACCCTTTTGCCCGTATTCGAATACCCATTATTGAATTTAGAATCAAATTCGGGTTTTGGAAAATAACCCGTATTTCTTTCTGAATTGAGCACCCATTTGGGCACACTACAAAACCCAGAAACAGATTTGAAAGCTGAAATTGAAGATTTGGTGAAGTGAGGTGAGAGAATTGGATTGAAGATGGGATTTGGGTTTGAAAGAGTAAGAAAATTCATGTTTGTTTTGATAATTAGTACATTGATTAGCTAATTTAGAGAAGGATTAATTGGTAATTATGTGAATGAGAATTGGCTAAAATAAGTTTAATTGATCAGCCATTAATTGAAGTCATCACTAAAATAGAGCTAAAGTATTTAAGAGAGTGAAATGCAGTGAAATTTACAAGAGATACCTCATACCTGCAAACAGCAAGAAGCATGCCGAGGGAAGCAGTAGTTGAAGGAGGCTTAGAAACGACGTCGTATATTTGTCTAGTAGGAATTGAAAAAATTATCAATGCACTAAAGAAGGTCTCGTTTGGTTTTCTATTGAAATATATTTTCATGGAAAATTCTAATTAAAGGAAGTTATCATCTTTATAAAATCTTTAATACTTTGTTTAACATAAGAATTGTTTTTAACATTCAACCACAATACTGGTTTGTTCACTTCAACTTAATTTCAGTTCAGTTCAGCTTCAATCAGTTTAATTCAATTCAATTTAACTTCAACTTTAGTTCAGCTCATCTCCTAATTTTCTTCTCTCATAAAGTATTCCTTTCAGCTCAATTCAGTTTATTTTAGCTCCAATCTGTTCAATTTAATTCAGTTCAGCTCCAATCAGTCTAACTCAGTTAAGTAAATGTGTACTGCCCTAAACCCTTAATTATCAAAATCTAAACATTTTTTTTCTACAATAACCTTTAAATATTATCCACTTCTTAAAAATAAAAAAATTCTATAACTTTCAATTCTACTATTTTTTCTTTCTAAATACATACTAGTATACTACGGAGTATATTACTATACATAATCGTATATATATCCCGTGCATTAGCACATATACACTCTATTTCTTAAGAATTTGCATAAGATAATTTGGCAAATTTTCTGGGATATTGAAATTGTCATAAAATTGTGATTTTCTCAATTTTACTGTTTAATATATTTTTTTTTTGATAAGAATTTTACTTTTTAATATTAACCAAACATTAAACAACATAAACAAAAAAAAATCATGAAAAATTTGGTCATTTAATGCACGTATACACTATAGTTCTTAAGAATTTACATTAGAGAATTTGGTTAATCTTCTGGGATGTTGAAATTGTCATAAAATTGTGGATTTCTCAATTTTACTTTTTAATATTAACCAAACATTAAACAACATAAACAAAAAAAAATATCATGAAAAATTTGGTCATTTAATGCACGTATACACTACAGTTCTTAAGAATTTACATTACAGAATTTGGTTAATTTTGTGGGATGTTGAAATTGTCATAAAATTGTGATTTTCTCAATTTTACTTTTTAATATCAATCAAACATTAACCATCATAAACAAAAAAAATCATGAAAAATTTGGTCATTTTGATCAGTGATTGTTTTGAAAAATAAAAAAAAAATGTCTGAGCCCGGGTTCGAACCGGGGACCTCTAGTGTGTGAGACTAGCGTGATAACCGACTACACCACCCAGACTGGTTTGTTCTTTTGAAATTGAATAACATAATACTTCACAAATTAAATTTGACTTCTGAAATCAAAGATGAAACAAAAACCTGGAGAAAGGAGCGGTTTCCATAAAATTTCAAATCAAAATCCAAAAATTCGCGAAAAATTGAAAGCCCTAACGTCACCCAACTAGAGAGAGAAAGAGGAGAGAGAAAGAGAGCGAATCACCGGTGACTCGGAATGGCCTACCAGCTCAGAATCGGCGAGTCAACTCGCGAAGAAGAAGAAGATGAAGAAGAAGAAGAAGAAGAAGAAGAAGAAGAAGAAGAAGAAGAAGATGAAGATGAAGAAGAAACAGTGAAGCTTGAAGAAGAAGTTAAAGAAATGGCGATGAAAGTTGAAGAATACAGATCTACTTTGCCTGATCACTTGAAATCGTCTCTTGCTTCTGTTCTTTCTTCTCAGCGTCCTGCTTTCTCTTTCCTTGATGATGTCTCTCAATCCGCTCCTTCCTGCGGGCCCAACTCAGGTCACTATTTGCTAAATTCTCAAACTTGTGATTTGTGTTATGTGGTGCTGGAGTTGTTGTTAATTTTGATTTTGATTTTGGATTTGAATTTTTAGTTCAAAGCAATTTAGTTTTTTTTTTTGAGAATTTTGTTGTGGTTTGATTGTTATTTTCGATTTTGAATTTCAAGTGAGTTTGAATTTAACTTCAATGTTGATTTTAATGTGAAAGTGGAGATTTTTAGGGTTAGTAAGTGATTAAGGGGTTACATTTTGCTGAAATTTGCAGAAAATTTCGTAAGAGTGAGTAATCTGTGTGGTAGTAGGGTTGGTGATGTAGTTATTGAGCTCTCTTTCGTGATATTTGAAGTAGTTTGTGTTGCCATCGTGGTTCCGTGGCATTGTTTGATGCAAGAGAAGAGAGCAAGGAAATTTTACAAGGGGGTGTTTGTGTAAGACTGTATGAATTAGGGATAATCGTCTAAAAATGAAGTGTTAGGGGTTGTTTTCAGTGCGCCTGTGGTGTTTTCGTGTTTTGCTAAGTCTGAGATGGCTTTGGAGGGACTTAGCTTGTGTAACTATGCACCTAATTGTAGACTAAGAAAGATGCCTGAAAGTAGGTAGATTAGAAACCTTACAAATGGTTTTCGGACCTGTGGAGATATGTTGGATTTACGCGTTGTTATTGGGGCTTAATGTTACTGTCCATGTACAATTCTGTGAAACCACTTTGTAGCCTGTTTCTGGCTTTTCATACTCTACAAAAGTACAAAGTCTTTGGGCATATTGCTCTGAGTTTAAGTTTCTAGGTTAATATATGCACCTCTCTTCTTGCCATTCAATTGGTTGGTGCTTAGCCTTTCACCCTATCAATCTTTAGTTGGCCGAAAACCTGAGACAGTGCCAATGCAAGGTTCAAGGTTTTGTTATCCCTGTTTGAAGTGTCAGGCAGGCCAGGAGACTATTCTATCCTTTAAGTTTTGGCCATGAGTAGGTGATGAAAATGAGTCAACAAAACCAAATGCCTTTTGCGTTCCTAGATATTGATTAAGTGATCAAATGAGTAATTGATTGCATTTTTATCAATAGGATTTTTAGCCTTATGAAAGTTATGTCTGATGCATTTTGTAGCCTTTGCTATATGACTTCTCAATGAAACAATTAAAAGCAAACCATTTGCATGTAATGAAATTAGGTTGAGAAGGTACTAATAATGGTTAATATGGGGTGTGGTGGTAAGACCTCCAGTTTATGTTGCTTGCCTGCTGTCATTTTAATAGCAATCCTTTGATTGTGGTGATCCACATGTATTTGCTTCACCATTCCTTTAATATGAGAAGACGAAATAAGAAATTGTTAGAAAAAGTCCTATATTTGGTTCATTTTTTGTTTTTCTTGAATTCACTCATGCTTCTAAGTCTGTTACCAATTAGTTGCCTTTTAGGGCCTCATTGCCAGCTTTTGTGTTCACCTTATTGAGTGTCGACCATCTTTCTCTGTTTACAGGTGCAGAATCTAGCCATGGTAACTCCAGTACACAGTTAGAAGTTGATGACAGTGAAAAAACGTCTGATGAAGTTCAATTGCTTAGAGATAAGATTTCTAGTAACATCTCTGCAATTCCCAAGGTTTTAAAAAGGATGAATGAGTGCATTTCTAGAATCGACAAACTTGTTTCTTCCAATGAAACCATTCATCCTGTATTCAAAAGGAAAAAGAGTTGATATACTTTGTTGTCCTATTTATCTTCTGGTTAGTAAGGGATTGTTGTGGGTAGCAAATTTCATTGGTACAATGATTTTATGACACTAGGCAATAGGGTATTACTGACAGGGAGCTGTATAACAAAAAATTATATCTCCATTATATGTAATTGAGTCACAAGCTAGTCCAATTTAGTTAATCTTAATTCATAATTTTTTCTGGAAATTGAGCATGTGGAGGAAAATCTATTTGTTGTGTGTTTTCCACTTCACCATTTAGCTATTACCAGTGTGTTCATTGCCAAATAATTTGGAACAATTGGTTTTGGTGTATTGCTGAATCCTGTATGCCCCCACTGGAGAGAGCTGCACGGTGCTTCCAGGGAGTTTTTCCAATTTAGGTACTTTCTTCGATCCTTTCTGCAAATTATTCTCAATACCAACTGTCAAGGTTGTTTTTTGGTGGTTATTGATTATTTTCTTCAATTTTTGTGGTAGCTAAGTATGATATTTCTTTTGCAGGTTGATGGCTTTGATTTTGATATTCTTAGATCTTCCACATGACATTGTATCTGATGGCCATGCAATGGGGCTTGTATCGGCTTGATATCATTTGATTTGTTGAGCTTATGATGCTGTTTAATTTTTAGTTTTTTTAGTCCTTTATAAGAGTCTGCTTATTTCTCCAATTGACTTGTAATATACGTAGTTCAAACAACTTGAAGGTGATTTTGAAAACATTCTGTATATATGACAGAAACTTTGGTATTCATGTCATTACCCATAGCAATGGTTAGATGTTGATAATCTGCATTAGTCATTGAATTTACCCTTTCCTTTATTTTATCTCAATGTACTTGTGTGTCTGTATCCCAAAATAAGCAAATTTCCCTACTGAATGAGGATATAGGATCCAAAATTGAATTAAAGAACCCAAATGATGAAATACTTTGTATTATTTACCATTACGAATATGAAATTGGTTGATTACAAGGACTCCAAAAGTCCCATGGTAAAATACAAACATCAGAGTAGAATTACATGAAAAGAATTCAGATTGACACACATTTACAGCAAATTACATCATCATCACAGGAAAAATTTGGTATAGATGAGCTTGCTATCATTCTATCCGCATTACCAACGTTGATGTCCAAAACAACTGCGCTGAGCCCTTTGCCAATTATGAAGATTTTTCTTCCAATAGCAACCATCTGACATGGTGGTCTTGGAAGGAGAGGCGAGAGCCTACACAAGGGAATCCATTCCCTAGTGTTTTTCTGCCACATCATCAACTTGCTTCCCAAACTCTGGTCCAGTACATAGATTGTATCATCCACAACTACAGTAGGGCCCAGCCAACCTGATGCCATATCAGCATCTGTTTGTTGCCATTTGCCACTCGATAAATCGTAGACAGCTATATACACATGAGGAGGTATGGTTGAAGTGCGAGATCTTATGTAGATTTTTCCGCCCATCACTACAGAATCCTCTATGTCAAGAATGATGTTTGGGTCTGAATGTGATTCCCAAGAGTTTGTTCTAGGATCGTAAGTGTCCCAAGAATGTGGATCACTCGTCTCTAACCCATATCCACCTATGGAATAAATCTTCCCGTCCATATTAACACAGCCAAAATAGCACCTGAAAGAATAACTAGAATATAAGTTCAATTTCCAACATTCCTTTTCTGAATGTGTCACTAAATTAAAAATTGTGTATATAAAGCACAGATATTCAACTCAACAGCTAAGGCAGGAAGCAATCCAAATACTAAATACAAACATGATCTTTTCAACAAGCTCTAATTCTTATCAGGCATGAGATAGCAAATTAACAAGGCCATTATAAGAGGTTCATTGAGCAAATTCAAAAGAAACTCCCAGAAGAGCCAACCACTCTCAAGGAAATAAAGCAACTCTATTCAATTCTCTTCCATTGAACTATAGGACAGTCGCATTCATATTCAACAAGTTTTGATCAGCAACACCAGAAGAACATAGCACATTCTATGGATAAACGAAGTATAACATTAAAAATCTTGGGTATGGATTCGATGTCTGACATCATAAGGATTTGTAACACATGTTGGTTCAAGGTTATAATATGGACATGGAAACATATAATCCACAATCACATACTGGTATATGTTTAACTAATAAAATGCATCACCAAAAGCCAAAAGGGTGCGCATGTACCTTGCAGTTGACATGGAAGGTGCTTCACTCCAAGTATTCATGGCCACATCATAGCAATAAACTTCATCAGTAGCATCTTCAGACCAACCACAACCTCCTAAAAGGTATAACTTCTTGCCGATTGTTTCAAAAGCCATTCCTTTTCTCTTCAAACATCGAGGCGGAAGACCACAAATGGACTTCCAACATGCCTGTCTAGAAGAGCTAGGGTCTAACACATAGCAGCTCACTTGATCAGTACTCTTATCTCTGCACAATGCATATATCCAAGATTCGCCTAAATTGTTCTTTTGGCGATAATCCCACCACTCTTCACTGCACACCAAGTCTCTCCACCTCTTTGAAACACACTTAAGAACTGTATGGTACTTCCTAGGAACCCTTGCCAAGCAAAACAAAGCAATGTCATCCGGAAGTCCACTTATCAGAGGCAAATGACGCGATTCGGTTTCGCTGTATGAGCTAAAACTACTTGCTGATGGGTCCGTGATCATGGTAACATGTAATCCTTCTACAAAAAACCAAATTGACAATTTGACATTAATTACTTTCCCAAAAACCAATAACTCATCAATAATACGACAAAGATTTTTAATTTAAGCACTCCAACAATAATTAAAACCCACTGATCTATCAAATCATGTCAACAAATTCAGATATAATTCGTAATCAATCAAATAAAATGGCTATTTTTGTGATCAATTCTACTTTTCACAGCTGAATGAAGAAAAATGAGAATCAAAACAATAACCCTAATTTGGAAGAAATTAAAATTGAAATCAGGAATAAAAAAAAACATACAACATTACCCTATTCCAGATCACCGGTGAATGAAACAGAAAGAAAATAAAATGAAATGCTGAAATTGAATTCATACAAAATTAAATATTCTAAACAAAAATCCTAAAATATAAAAAATCATTGTAAGGGAAGAAATCAAAGCGAAAATAGAAAAAATAAAATCAATTAAATGATGACAAATTCTGTTAGACTAACCGTTAGTAAAATTCGTAATTGGATCCAAGAACACTTTGATTTGATTGAAGGAGAGAGAAATGGATCTAGCAAAACCTTCAAAATGGCATGACGTTTGAGTATTTGATATGATGAGCAACCCACCTTAGTTTACACAGTACGATAGAATAACGATACTCTGTCTAAGAGGAAGGCAGGAAGCCATACTCTACGACAGTTTTAAAAAAAAAAAAAATAAAAAAAATTATGAAGTTCTTTGGAAAAAAAAAATGAATTCTTTGGGAAAAAATTATGGAGTAATAATATGGATTATAACGTATTTTGATTTGATGAAAATTATTACTCCGTAATATTTGTAATTAATTATATACGATTTAATGTAAAGTGATTTATAAAAATGAATAAAGCAAACTTATACTCCGTATATGAAAAGTATAATAGCTTTCAAAAGCTTATAATAAATATACGGAGTTTTTTTAGTTATTAGTCTTTATTCTACCAATGGTGGCAATATGACCATTTTCTACATTAGCTTTCAAGTTTACAAAAATAACATAAAACAATGAGAATTAGGACTTATTCTGATTTACAGAATTGAGCTGAACTAAATTGAACTGATTGGAGCTAAGATAAGTTGAATTGAATAAAATAGAATATAGCTGAAATGAATTGTTTATAATAGAATGAAATTAAGAACTGAATTGATAGGAGGTTAATTGAAGTAAAATTAAGTTGAAAAGAATAGACCTTTAGTCTATTAGATTTTCCAACCCATTAACTTGCATACAAATTTCAACACTTTGGACGAGTGAGAGTTGGCCACATGTGAAGTCATGGGCAAGCAATTCAAATCTTACACAAGCTTGATGATATGATATATTGTACAAAAAAATTACTTGTATTTGAGTATATCATACATTCATACCATGATACAAACCAATGGATTAGTTAAGTGCAAGACTAAAGTATTGTTGCACTAAAAAAATTATGAGACAAGCAATAATCATGTGCGTGTTATAACAATTGCCTAGTTGAATAACGTTTCTTATGAAACCATGGTTGTTTCCTTTGCATGCTATATATTTACAGGCAAGATATCATAGCAAGAGTTTGTCTGTGAGCTTCAATATCTGGCTCTGAGCGCTCTGCCTGGAGTTCTGGCCACTCTAAGTAGACCTTCTTGAGCCAGCGATACAACAAGCTGACAGGAAACAGATGCAAGATACCAAATTAGTCGTGAACAAGAAGAAAGAACATTAGGATCATATGGTCAGATAACGTGTTGAGATTTACCTCTCCCTTCCTATTGAACATTCGACCTGCAACTAATCCTCGTGCAGAATGAGCAGATGGACTCTCCATCTATAATAGAAGGCACGTTATTATATAAGGGAAAACCTAAGACAAAGTCAAACAACAGAAGTCTGTTGGGCTTACCACAAATAACAGCCAATCATCAGCTTTTACGGGTCTATGGAACCACATCCTGACAAAGAGAAACCAAGCAAATGTATTGAGAAACAAGTCATCACTAGAGACAAACACAAACTCAGACATGACAAACTAACAGCGACTTGCATGTATATAATCGTACAAATCTACATATTTGGACACAGGGAAATGTATGATATCATCCTATCTTATACCGAAGTAAAATAAAAACTAAAAAGAGCTTTTTACCATAATCCTCTAAAATTTCAGTATTCAAATTCTACACTCCATCAGCCCATCCTAGAACAAAAAAAATAAAATAAAATATCAAAGAATTTTCCCCAATAGATACTATAACTATCTAATCGTCTTTCTTCACAAAGGATAGATTCCTTGCATGGACACAAATACATTCTAGTACAATTAATCTCCTAGTCTGAAGAAAAAATCATAACCACTTCATCACCCACCTAAGTCTTCACATGGTATTGAAGATAACATGTCCACTTTATGAGATCTAATGAAAGCAACATATCTTTAGTGGAACTACTTAGAGCAAAGTTCAGGAAATAAATACCATGAAAGTTGCGACGTATTCATATAAAAAATAAGGATATTAAAACTCTATGTTAATTTAACTAGTCCAGCATAGTAGCATGCTACATTCTAAAAACTAATGAATGAAGAATAGCAAAAGCACAGTTGAAGGTGCAAATGTAGGCTGGGACAGGATAATCTAGGTTATATACCAGGGGGACACAATCAAACAAATATTAAGCCAAAGATAAATCTACTAGGAAGCAGTTACTCACGTATGATTCAAGCTTAGAACACTGATCTTCAGACCCCTGTCACGATGAGGATTTGAGCTGACTTCAATAAACAACAGATCCGAAGCATAAGCCACCACACATCTGCAAAATAATTGAACAATATAAAATGACATCGGCACAAGAAGCAATTGTACTCTTCTACATATTAGTGGGCATGTTCCTTGGAGGAAATTTAAAAAGTTACAAAATGTAAAATAAAAAAAATTATAAAAAAAAAAAAAAAAAAAAAAAGCATTCTAATAATGGTCAAGCGAGGCAAAAAAAATCCAAGCGGATATCATTCGCATCTAACAAGCAATATTAAGTCTATAACTGCATAATTTTCCACAGTGCAACTGAGCCCAATATACTAAATGATTTGCCTCATCAGCAGCATTCTATTAACCAATTAATTGTAAATTATTCATTGGAAGTTCAATAATACAGTCATCATGTGAATCTACAGGAGTTCACAAATAACGCAGAGGCCTTTACGATTTTCATGATCTACTTATGGTTCTTTGCAACATCTATTCTCAAATAAAAATTCTTTCACTGGATGACATTAAGAAGTCCAGGGACCAGTAAGCAGAGAGCTACTTATGGTTCTTTGCAACATCTATTCCATTATACAAAGTGTTTCAGGGCAACCATAGGATTAGTCCAAAACTAATCAACGAATCCTCTTTAAATGCTACCATAGTACCATCAAGATCAACTTGCGACATTAGCTCCTTTTCACGAGCTTCTGTAGCATTGCTTCACAAACCATATCCTCCATCAACCATCCAATCATCATGGACATTGCCAAACAGTCCAGACCTTATATGCATTCAATCAATCAATCAATCAAAGCCTTAATCCCATAAGTGGGGTCGGCTACATGAACCAAAAGTGATTATTCCGTGTAGTCCAAACCTTATATGCATTAAAGTTTAAAATTTAATAGCATAAACGAGAGGGAATGACACAAAAGTAAATGCATTCAAAGACCTCTTACAAATTTAAAAGTGCAAACACAGATAGCGTGCCTTCTTGTTTTTCAGTAGACACATCAGAAGCCCCAGACTAAATTAAACCCCAGCCTTAGCATATCTTACCTATGCAAAGCCTGGTCATCTGACAAAATTCCTTTGGCCCTGAACCAATACCTCAATCTGCATAAAAAAATACAACAAGCACAAGTTAGGTATATTTGGATACAATACCTGCATTTAATACAATAAAAAAAATTTCAAGGAAAAGGATAATAACTTTGCAGGGGATTTCGTCTGATTCGTAAAAGTATTTGGATCACAAAACCGAATCTCTATGGGCCAAGGAGTAATCTCTGACATGGCCACTTTGTTGCGGTAGGTCCTGTCACATCATCAACCAGATATATCATAAACAAGAATGTTATGTACAAATGATGCAGCATTGCTTCAAGAATAAGAATGCTTTTGTTTGGGAGGAAAACAGTTGTTTAGACTTAGGAGTAGGAAAAATTTTCCAAGGGTGAAAAATCATTCTCCCAAGTGTGAGAAACATTTACTTTTTTAAGAGGGAAGCCACACTTTCCTATATATTCCTTACCTTCCTCTTTTTCTCCTCCCATCCATCATTCCCTTCCCATATTCAATTTGCAAGGAACCAAACAAAGCAAAACAAATTAGCAATTGTGTGATCCCTAGAATAATAATTTCTGCTGAAAATCATTTTCTAATGGAAATGTTTTTTTTTTTTTTTTTTTTTTTTTTTTTTTTTTTTTTTTTTGCTGCAAAGCTGATGTACCCCAGGCAACATTCTACTTTTGGATTTTATCTTTCAACTTATAATCCAAGGATTCCAAGCTAATGCGCCAGATTACCCATGACCTTGTCAGAATGACTGGATGAGAGAAATGTTTACTATTCAAAGCATCATCCGAGTTCCAACCTAGCTCATCCAGACCCCCCCCCCCCTCCTCCTCCAACCTTTGAGAAAAAAAAATGTGTGACTGCTAACAATGGGTTGCAGAGCACAAAGAGATTGAGGGGATATCTAATTATCTACTAACACACATATATCGATATAATGAGCTCAGTAATTTAATCAATAATGTAGAAACCTGGGGAGTCGAGGATCAATAATACGCTTTTCACGTAGCTCTTCCAATGATAATAGCTGAAATGCAGGGGAACATATAGAATCAGTAAAGTAACACCCCATAATTTTGCTATGCTGAAGAAAAGCTTATACAATACCGTATCTGGAGCTGGTACCAAGGGCATAACTGCATCCTGGTGCTCAAACCCTGATTCTTCTTTCTGTGGAATTAAGAAAAAATAAGCATGAAGCCCAGGAACATGTCATTTATCATCTAACAGTTGTCACTTATCAGACCAATCAGTCAACTTTTATCTCAGAGACTCAGACAATTAGGGCAACAAGTAAATCCTCAAATATCACAAGACCAAAAAGCAACTAGTATGATAGACACCATCAATGGCAATCACTAGGTCATCTGGAATACAATAAGTTGTAAGAAGATTGCTGGCTTTAACGAAACAAACCCTTTTTCTCTTCCATAGTCCCATTCCAAGCTAAAAAAGGGGAAGAAGAGGTGTGTGGGGGGGGGGGATTGGGGAGCTAAACTACTGAGAGACACAGGAATTTTCCTGCCCTGGGCCAGAGAGACTTTTCATATGGCTACAAAGCCCAGATCTTGTTGTTAAAAACTCCCATAAATATACTCTTCAATTCACACCCCTGTCCTTTGTGAAAGAATTTTTATTTGAGCACATAAAGGGTGTACAATAAGCATATATTACATTTAAGGCTATGATTCAAGTCACATCTCATTATTGCTGGAAGCTGTGAAAGTCCAGTGCTTTTCCATGTAAACATACAGCTTCTACAAGTTTGCACAATCAAAAAACTCCATCCACTAACCAAAAGACTGAAAATAAACACTAACATGTCAACATTAGGAATATTCATTAAAAGACCAAATACCTAGCTGATGTATGTCATCGATTATAATGGATAGCAAGAAAAGATGAGACACCTACCTAGAGGCTAGAGCTAAACATTTTCAAAAATCTGAAGTAATAACTGCATTAACAATTATGTTAAGAGAGCCACACTACCAATGCAATCAAAGTGATAAACTTTTGATGTGTGTGTACAAAGCTCCTGTCAAAAATTTGACTATACAACATACATGCAACTCATGGAAGTGACAACAATCACATCCATCTTATATTGCAGGAAGTGATCAATCATGATAGCAGCAATTTCTTGCTAACAAAATACTCTCTATGTTACACTGATATCAAGATGAAGTGGTAGACACAAGAAAATTACTTGAAATGACGCAAGCAAGGTGAACACAATAGTTCCTTTTTGTATAGCATCTACTCTTCGGCTGGAAAAGCTTTTCCCATCACGGAGGCGATGAACCTCATATATGATTGGAACTGCATATAAATGAACAGTTAATCAATAATAGCACCAAATTACATGAGACTTCAGACTGAGACAACTTAATTAACTGAAATTAAACAAAACTAGACATATTCCACAAAAAATAGATTTTCCAAGGTCCACTCAGCTTTATCATCAGGAAATTAAGAATGAGAAGCAATTCACTGCCGCAGAACTAAAATTCTACAACTTAGATAACAAAATTTCTATGGAAATAATAAACAAACAAAAAACAGAATAAAAAAGGATAAGAAATATTGAAATAATGTAATGGAAAGTCATTTACTTTAAGTCTCTGGAGAATTCTTATGTACTAGTAAAACCAAACTGAATAATATAGTTCATACATCTAAATTTCTATATTGATTCTATTGAAATTATAGAGGTAAGGTAAGATAAGATTGCACTTAAGTTCACCAAAAGGTTTCAAGTATTTTTTTTTTTTTTTTTTTTTTTTTTTTGGAGGCAAAAGGTTTCAAGTACTTACTATCATAGTCTCCAACAAGAAGGAAATAAGCCTGCAAATGATGGACAATTTTTAAACAATCAACAGTCTTTGATGCTGCAGCCACAGCCTGTAATTTAACAAGCGAAATGTCAGATTGTGGGCGCTAAAAAATTATAATCCGCTAAAGCAACCTCAATAATTAACAAGCGAATCTATACAGGTTAAGATTTTTTTTTTTTTTTTAAATAAAAAAAACAGTGTCAAATCTTGAAATAAAGCAAGCAAGTAGTTTTTTATAATTTGGTGAAATACCTATCTGAACAAGTTCTCATAAGAAGAAATCTGTGCTCACAAAACTACCATAAGAACAAACTTTAGTCAGGGCACCACATTTACTTCTGGCACAATGATACCACCCACTCTTATTAGAAAACATGTACCAAAAATGAATTTTTAATCATATAGGATCAAGCACTACCTCCAAGAAACACCATAGTATCGTCACCAAAAATACATATCAAACTGTATAGGGTTTCAGCAATAGCAATTTAAAAAACTTAAATGAAAGAATTTTGCTCTTCAGTCTCGCACTGGAAAATAGTCAGCAAGTTATTTGCAAATAATAATATATTTTGGCAAAGGAGAACAAACCCCCAATTTCTCATCTATAAAAAGACCTAGTACGTTTGCTGGAACAAAGAAATACTCATTCTGAGACATTCTCAAAAAAAAAAAAAAAAAAAAAAAAAAAAAAAACAGAAAACAAGATCCTAACAGCCAATGCTTGTGCAAGAAAGTAATCAAGGAGAGGTAACAAAGTTCTTCCCACTCACATCAGAAGCTTATAGACACAATGAGAGAAGTAAGGATATGTTGAAAGTAAGGACCAAGGAGGGCTAAGATCCACAAGTTAAGATTTAGACTTATCAACTGCATTGTCTACATGGCATGCAACACATTTATAGAAAACTCATGCACCTGATGTAAATGTAATTGTACCTCTTTATGGGGTACAATCACAAAATTTCACAGGAATAAATTTAATCCAGCATAATGTACGAAGAGAAAAGCCAATGAAAAATCATACCTGGCCAATAAACTGTCCTCCAAAAACTTTTCCAAATTTTGGAGCTTCAGGCAAGGTAATCCCTTGAAATAGGTTTACCTACACGAAGTAATAGGGTGTAAAACAAACTTCACTTTGCTCAGAACTCAGCAAATGACCAACACACGTCTAGAAACTACAAGAATAAGAGTGTATACACAAGATGAGACTACCGGTGAATTTTTTCCCAGCTCCTCTATTTATCAGATCTACACAACGTGATTTTAGCATAGTCATAATTTAGATTCCATATGAAAAATTTACCATGTGCAAATGTGTATTCTATTCTGGAGAGGGTCTTATTACTGAGAAAATCAAGTCCCAAATCTAAACATGGGAACAGAGTTTTCAAGATCAGAGAATGTACACAAGGATATTGAATGGGACCAAAATAATCAACTTGTAATAATGGGGATAACTAACATCTGAAAATTCAAAATGAGAATCAGTTAGGTTCAGAACTTTTGGGTGAGAAGGTACTAATTTGCATGAAGTACTAGAAATTGAATTAAAATTCAATACTTCAAGTCACCTCATTACTTGAATTATCCTTGTAGCCTATTAGCAGTATATTCAGCTCAGGACTAGTGAAAACCACAAATCGTCTAAGACTACATTTGTATAAAGAAAGTATCTTAAACAGCTTCAAGAACTGATGGAATAAATGAAAGAAAGGCCTAGTAATTTCTCCTGTAACCTATAACATATGCAGTCAATATTTTCTTGAATTGCAAATAGGACTTAAAGTCCAGAGGTGAAATATCATGTAATCTAGTACCCAATAATGAGGTTTTTAAGCATCTAATAGGACAAAGCACACTAACCCACCAAAAAAACAACTTTAAGTATGGAGTACAAAGCTTATGATAGGCCCAAGAAGACATACTTCAATAGGATCCAAATGTAATATGCTCTCTACAGGTGCACAGGTCTCTTTTCCAGCATTAGCATTCCAGATTGACTTTGGCCGCAGCAAATTACAATGGTCAGAAGGTAGCACCAAACAGGTCAACTGTCATGAATAATGAAAAATGGTCACAACTCAATAATTGATTTTATACCCATAAGTAAAATTGAAATACACTCTTAAACTCTCTAAGAATTAAATACTAAATATACCCAGAATTTAGACACTGTTTTCATCCCCTTAACCAAGAATTGTTTTTGATGTGTTCTTCTAGACCCAAAAAAAATATACCTTGGATGATGCAATCACATCTGCCTGTTTTTCAGATGTTGGGGCACCTAGAAAACAACAGAAAGGAGCACGTTATATTGTTATAATGCACCAACATAGCATAGCTCACAATTATGTTTAAACATTGAAGAAAGAAAGCTATCAGCACAAATAAAGTTTCACAAATGGAAACAATGTTTACTAGCCAAATAGCCAGCTAATTTGAAGCCATCTCAAACCAGATATCAATTGAGAATTAGCATCCACTACTATCACACCACAATGTAGCCAAGTTCCCAGCAAGAAGGCTCATTCTTTAATGCAATTATCAGCTTTTCTTTCTTCTTCTTTGTTTTTTCTAAAACTACATTACTACAAAAAATCAAGGAGTGACAAGACCAACCATTGCCAAAATAGTCATAACGTTTTAACAAGAACTCTGGACGAATTTCTTCCTCAGCGAGTCCACAAACTTCAGCCTACAGTAAGTAACGAGATCACATGAATACATGATTAACAAATCCTCAAGAATCAAGATCACCAAAAAGTAATAAATTACTGAAAGAACCTTCAACAACAACTTACTTCTCCTTCCCAAACAAAATACACATCATCTCCACTTTCTCCACTACGAATAACATACTCTCCACTGTCTACAAGATTTGAATAGATACTTGTCAAGTCAACAACACAATTACCATCAATATATATGAATACTAGTATACTACAAAAGAAAATTTAAGAGATTCGTACAGCTTAATCTTAATGCATAATAAAGCATGAACACAATCACTAATCATCAGCACATGCAAATTATGTCACTGGCCATACAGATGTATGATTACATGGTACTCCCTATAAACAACATTGACTAGCTTAGTCACCCCAAATCACACCAAACTTAATTTTGAATGTGATTGAACTATCATAGCTTAATACAACAAGCATGGTCACCCCAATACGAGTGATTACACCTATCGTTTATGATACACTCGTTGTATACAAGACCTATTTGGTGAAACTTAATTTCACAATAGTCATCAGTGTAACAATTATACTGTGATTAAACCCACAAAACTCTGAAACCCAACAATTAAATCAAAATTGAAAACAAGGGATTGAATAGAAGATAAATGATACCATAATGCTTGACTTTAACGACCTCAGCAATTTTCTTGAGAGATGAACTGGGTAGCCGCTGAAGCAGTGGAACTCCCCCCAGAAACTCTGTAACTGTAAATCCCAAATAATGCAAACACCCACCAAAATAAAAATCAAATAAAACAAATAATCACGCTCATTATACAAAAATAATAAACCCAATTCAATCAATGAAATAACAATCTGTTTACCTGATTCAGCGTTCATCTTCAAGCTCTGCTACTAATGAATATTTCTGGAAATTTTAATTTTTGTATCAAAAAGAAATCAACAATAATACAACATTGACGAAGCTTTATATGATGGGAAATTGAATAAGATTAAACAAAAAGCAAGAATTGCAAGATGAAATCTTTAGCGTGTGAAAATCATGGGGTCTTTATTACATAATATGATTAAAATTATTTTGTACGGTTGTATAATAATTAAATTGAACACATATGGTTGTCTGAACTTTTTTAGTAATAATATCAATTGGGATTTGGAAAGGGGACAAAAATGTTGATACTTCTCCTCCTATCCAGCCCCATTTTAATTCAAAAGCCTAGCCCAATCAGGTCCAAAGTCCAACTTTTCATTCGGACAGATCGGAATGTCTCACAAGTCCCCAAACTAGGCTAACCGGTTAGATCTTTTGGAAGTAAAAGAGAAGGGAAAGGAAATCTACACCTTACAAATGATCCTTAGTGGGGGGATTAATCCCACAAACTCACAGTTATAAGATACAAATCATATAATTCTTACCGTGATTGATTTAGGTCTACCTAAAATTGATTATACAGCTAATACAAGTATTACGTATACAAGTAATAAGTAAACAACTATCATATTTTTTTTCGAAAACTTTTGTATTTTCAAAAAAATTAAATGTATACAACCAATACAAGTCAATAAGGCATACAATTATTGTGAGACTTAATGCCACAAATCGTGACTTTTGTACTTCGTAAACAAGTTATACAACTATTATGCGGCCTGATGATGTGGGTTGCTACCTTATGTATAATTAGAGCTGTCAAAAGTTCACCTGACCCGAAATACCGACTCAAACTCGATTATTAACCGACCCATCTGAACCCAAAAAATGGTGACCCAAACCGACCTGACTCGACCTGAAACCAACTCTAGACCCGAGTTGACCCGAGTATGTGAGACCCAAACCCGAACATGAATCGACCTGGAGATGACCCGACCCAAATGTAACCCGTAAATTATTGACCTGAACCAAACCCGACTTGAACCAAAATTGACCTAAACCCGAATTTAACTCGACTTGTTACTAACCTAACCTGAATTCAACCCGATCCGTTCCTAACCCGACCCGAGTTAAACCAACCTGTTACAAACACGACCCGAAATCAACCCGACTTGTTATTGACCTGATCCAAATTCAACCCGACTTGTTATTGACCCAACCCAAATTTTACCAAACCTATAACTAACCTGACCCAAAAATTCAACCCGATTTGTTACTAATTTGATTCGAAATCAACACGACTTGTTATTGACCAAACCTAAATTCAACCCAAATTGTTCCTGGCCCGATTTCAAATCACCTTAAATGCAATTTAGACCACCTTATTATTGTTGATCAAAACATTTTGTCTAGGGAGACCAAGTCGGTCCAGGCTAGCAAAAGAAAGGAGCATTATCCTCAAATTTAAGAGTTAAATATAGTATATATTTGTTGTATGGTCAAAGAAGATAATTATCTTCCTAAATTATAGACTATAGTTCCCTAGTATCGCCATATATATTATAGTCAAAGGAAATAATTAGCTTGATAAAAATGATAATTATCTATTTATAATTAGTTGAACCCGAATATGACTTGACTTGGAAATGACCCGACCTGATTATAACATGCAAATAATTGACTTGAACATAACCCGACTTGAATCCGAGAATGACCCAACTTGGAAATGGCCCAACCTGATTATAACCCACAAATTATTGATTGGAACCGAACCTGACTTGAATCCGAGAATGACCCGACTTGAAAATGACCCGACCTGATTAAATTATAACCTGCAAATTATTAACTTGAATCGAATTGAACCCGACTCAAACCCGAGAATGACCCGACCTGATTCTAACCCGCAAATTATTGACTTGAACCGAACCCGACTCGAACCCGAGAATTACCCTAACCCGTGAAAACCCGAATTAAACCCGACCTATTGTTCACCCGACCCCAATGTAACCCAACCTAAACCCGACCCAAACACGATAAGAAGTATGACTCGACGTGACCCGACTCAAGCATGACCCAACCCAAACCAGACCCGCATAGTTTATGGAATTAATCAATTAATCCAAATTGATCCACCCGATTTGACCCGACCCACTCATACCCGAACCGTTTACCCGAATTGACAGCTCTACCCGAAACTTCAAAAATTTCTCCAAAAGCGTGGATACTAGCTTTTAATTTTGGAATTTTTTGACTTTTTTCATCCAGAAATATTGTTTATCATAGTCCCTAATACCCTCTGGAAGTCCATTTGGCTGGGTGGAACCATCCAATTAGCCTTTAAACGGCCAATTTACCGATTTACACTTGCACCGATTTCATGAACTCAAGTCTACCACGAACATTTATGATAACATAAAATAATCATTTATGGCTCCAAACGGCATTATATGACCCCCGAGATGTATCCCCAAAAATCTCAATGCTTTTCGACACCGGGCCCCGAAACATTCGAAATTTCTCAAAAAACGTGGATATTAGCCTTCCATTTTAATTTTTTTTACTTTTTTCGCCCGAATTTAAAAATTGCCAAATGTTTACCATGGTCCCTTATACCCTCCGGGAGTCCAATTAGGTGGGTGGAACTATCCAATTTGTCTTTAAACGACCAATTTACAGTTTTACAACTTGCATCGATTTCATTAATTCAAGCCTACCACAAACATTTATGACAACAAATAATGATCATATATGGTTCCAAATGACATTATATGACCCCGAGATGTATTCCCTAAAATTTCAAGACTTTTAAACACCGGACCCGAAGGACTCTAAAATTTCTCAAAAAGCGTGGATAGCCTTTAATTTTTGATTTTTTTTTGACTTTTTTCGTCAGAAAAAAAAATTGTCGAAATGTTTACCATGGTTCCTAATACCTTCGGGAGTCGTATTGGGTGGGTGGAACTATCCATTTACCTTTAAACGACCAATTTACCGGTTTACAACTTGCACCGATTTCATTAACTCAAGCCTACCACGAACATTTATGACATAATATAATGATCATATATGGTTCCAAACGGAATTATATAACCCCGAGATGTTTTCTCTAAGATCTTAAGGCTTTTAGACAGCAGGCCTCGAAACCTTCAAAATTACTCAAAAAATGTGGATATTAGCCTTCAATTTTGGAATTTTTTTGACTTATTTTCGTCCGAAAATAAAAAAATTCCGAAACGTTTACCATTGTCCCTAATACCCTCCGGGCGTCCAATTGGGTGGGTAGAACTATCAAATTTACCTTTAAACGACCAATTTACTGGTTTACAAGTTGCACTGTTTTCATTAACTCGAGCCTACCACGAACATTTATGACAACGTATAATGATTATATATGGTTCCAAACAACATTATATGACCCCAAGATGTATCCCTGTGGTACCTGGTTTTTAGTGGACAGAAATTAGTCTATAAAAGGTTCCACTTAAGTGTCTGATAAGACTTATAAACAAAACTTAGAGTCGCCACCTTATTTTTATCCGAATAAGGACGGATTTTAGAACAGTCAATTTTAAGAAATTAAAACTTAATAAAAATCAACTGCTTACTCCATAATAGGAAATAAGGCACAGGGTTCGGGGTTTAGGTTAAGAGAATCGAACGTCTGGAACTCGTCTTCTCTTCCGTTCTATGGAACGGGCTCTTACTATTGCGTTGTCAAAAATCAAGTTTTAAGACATATTAACCACGTAAAAAAAAATTAATAAAAGGTAGGTTTGAGCACCAAAGTTGCACTACGTACCGATCATAGTGAGATTTTGAATTCACTCACGGATCAAAACCTTCGTAGTTCGGACAAATGCCATGTTTTGAATAACCAATTCCATTAGGTTTTTAATTTGGGTTGTCGACATAAATGTCATTTTTGTAAGTGGGATCATAGTGATCTTTGACGGATTCACTCATAAAAGTAAAATGAACCACCTTGGTTGAGGAAGATCACCCCGATTAGTGATCACCAAAAAAATGTCTTTCGAATAAGACAATTCAACAAATGCGTCCCAATTGACGACTTTTTAGTGGGTCAAGGTATTTTTTGGAGCGAAACTGTAAGGGTTCACTATATAATCTCACTTTGGGTTTAAATTCACTCAAGGTTAATTTTTGTAAGGTTTTAAGGGTTATGTGTTTAGGATTAATGGAATTGACCAAATAAAACACGACACCTGTCAAGGCCTTACTTCTAAATAAGAGGGAACAATAATCTATTTAATCATATTCGATTGTCAATTAATCCATCGGGTAATTATGATGGGATATAAGTTTATTTTCATGGATATGGATAATTGTTACAACCTTATACAACTAAATAATTAATCTTAACCTCATGTTTGAAAATGAGGCCATAACCTCATATTAACTATCATTACTTATTAAAAACAAACAAACAAGTTATGATTCATTCTTGTGTCACAAAAGGATTTGAAATAAAAAGGTTCACGAAATCATAAAAGAAAATAATAGACTTTTATTTCTGAAGTCATCTTTAAGGTAAGATTAAAGTTTCTCAAAATAATACTTAGAAATAAAGCTTGTTAAAACTCTTATTTCTAAAATCACCTTTAAAAAAAATTAAAACATTTTTTTGTAAGATTCCATAAGTTTAAAAGTATATATATAATATAGTGTAATATAGGTTTCATACTGATTAGAGGATTTTGCTCCCACCAATCGGAATGCGCCACGTGGGCCAATCAGGACCTGCCAAGTGTCCCCTAGTTGGAACTGTCAGGGCTTGCCACGTGGCACGCGCTTATTCGTCCACCTTGGACCTGTTATGTCACGACATGTGGCATACTCCATGCCTAATGGAGAAACCGGCCACCCAGGCCCAACTTCCGAGGGAAGCCCAATCGGCCCTAGGTTAACCTAAACCTAGGATGGGCACGTTTCCCAAGGTTATAAATACCTCCCTTAATCCTCATTAAGGGGGATAACAAAAAAAGATTACAGAAACATTACGGAAAAAACACATTAATTACACACAGTAATAACCGGCTGATCTCGCTAGCAAAGCAGATTACCTACATTAAACACTCTCACCTAGAGAGACCTAATCACTTTAATTTCCGCATTAATTACTCCTTAATCAGGTACTAACTTGACCGTTGGAGGCGGAGCTCACAGGAGTCTCCGTTATTTTGCAGGTACAAGCGTCCGGTTCCAGTCTCGGAATTGTA